CCAATCAAACTGTGATGGTATGTGGTGTCCTATTGAAAATATTTTTATGCATTTATCTGTATTTGTTTTTACTGTCTGGAAAGCAAAGCCCTTTACTGACAACAAAGTTGATCTAAGCTAATTAACCCTCGTATTATGTTCGTTTGTGAGGTAACCCTCGTTTGTGAGGTTAAATTAAAAGTGATGCAATACCAATTTTTTCCCCGTCTCTTCCCCACCGACAGTCATAATTTACCTCTTTAAAAACAGCAAATCCTACTTTTTTTTTTTTTTTTTTACCTGAAATTTAAAAAACACAGAAGAGCAACGTTTTATAAAACATTTATTGTAAGGGGTGGGGTAGAGATTACATCTTGTTTCTAACATTTTTCGATGTCATCCAGATTATTTTCATCTATAGAAGAAAGAAAAACTTCAACCGGCGGGAGGCTTCATTGATTTTATCACATCACCTGGCGTCGTCAACGTACCATGCAGACGCCAAAAATAAACCGTTCGAGTTCATGAGGTGGATGACCCAACACACTCAGTTTTTTGGGAGATATTTTCTTTAAGTTTACAATGGAAAACTACATCATATTCCTGTAATTATGATGCTACATTTGGAATGAAGAATTTCTTCTTAACGTCTTAAAAAAATAATCTTTAACATATGAAGAAAGCACAACGGTGCAGCTAAAACTAAAACAGATTGATTTGTTTCAATCGCATGGGTGCAGCTCCCAAGTAGCAGAAATCAACCATCTTCTATTTGAGTATTTATTAGCATATGTGGGGACGATACAAAAGTAATAAAGAAAAAAAAAAGTCATTCTGACCAGGTTGTGTGTTTTGAGGCATCAGGAAGATCAATGAACTAAAACTAGGCCTTTAAACTGTACAAAGCGAAACAAAAACACCAAAACGCAGTGTGCTTGTTTGATGAGAGCAGCTTTAAGAGACAAAAAGAGGCAACGGACTCCAGACTTTCAAAGATTCAAAATGAATCAACAGATTATTGTCTTCATTACCACTCTCCCGTCAGAAGCTGCCAGCCAATCAAGCACGTTAAACAATACAGCCAAACAGAGCAAAGGGATTATGAGTATGTCCTAGTTCTTGCCAATTTCTTTTCAAGGGGAAGCTGCAGCTTGAGTCCACTGGGTGGCGCCATACCCTTGAGAGGCCGCTGTGTGGGGCTGTTTCCACGTTGATGCACGCCAACCCAGTCTTTGTTGTGTGTTTTTATTTTACTATCTTGTGTAAATTTGTCAACACTCTACGATGGTTTTGTAGTTTATATGTCTAAAAAAACTCTCAACAGAGGTTTCGGGGGTTCCGGTCGATGAGGCAACAAGTCGAGGATTAAGAGGTCGCGCCGGGTGTTGGGTTGACATTCTGCGTGGCTGCTTGCGGTGCCACCTCGATGATTCGTGGCTTGTCGATGATGCGGGCGGTGCGGTTTCCTTTCTCTACGATCCCGATGATCCAGGCTTGGTGACCCTCTCCGTATTTTGGAGATTTGATCTCGGCGCAGAAGCGGGCCGCCTGCTCCCGGGGCAAACAGATGAGCAGGCCTCCTTCGAATGGAAAGAACACGGAATCGGTCAGTTTGTTTCTTGTGCGCATCTCTCAGAGTACAAGTCTGTGAGATGTACTCTGTTGTTTGCAACATATTCTGGCAAACACTTATCATAGGAAAGGTGTTAAAAAACAGAGCAAAACAAATCTAGTGATGTGTATCCCAACACCATTATAACGTTAGGTTATAATGAGAGCAAAGAGAAGGCTGCAGAAAGCAGCACTACAGCATCTACTGAAGTTTTTAAAACATGACCAGCTATAGTAAATGCAGTAAATGCAAAATCAGACAAACAACTCCATCAGAAACGGTTCATTTTACTGTCATCGTGTATATTAAGATTTTTAAAACTTCTAAAGAGGAGCAATATAAACTTAAAAAAAAAAACTGTAATATGAAGTTCTTTTAGTGACGTCACATTGTTTTCATGTTCTGTGGAGCATAAATTAAAACAGAGCTGCCCCTCCCACACCTGTTGCTATGCACAGGTGGCCAGCAGGCTGGAAGATGACAGATACAATTTGCCTTTCTTACAACAGACAAATTCGGCTGTTTAAATTTCAGGAATTTAAAGTTTTAACACTTTAGAAAATGGTATACAATGAAGTTTGAACACTCAAGCTTTTTCCCCATTTGTGCTTTTCATTTTTTTTTAAATACCACATTCATTTGTAAACAGAAACCTGACGATGCCAACAAGTTAAAAGCAATTTCCTCAAAATATTGTGTGTTGATGAAGGGCCTTATGGCTACACAAATAAAACAGTTTTTATTATCCTAGTTTCGTAAGAGTGCAGCGAGATTATTTCATCATGTCTGTTTACTATAGACTCCATCCTGTTTGATCAAAACTCAGGACTTTCTTACCAAAACTTTGCTTACTCCATCCAACTCCATATAAACACACATTATTGGCAGGATTTTATAGAGCTATGGTTGTTGATGTCAGAACCACATCAACACAGACCTGATGTTTCAGGGCAGGTGCCGTGCATGAGTCCAAACATGTTCCCGCAGGCTTTGGACACGGCGGCCATCTTGGCGAGCACTGGGAGGTTGTGGATGACGAAGGACACCTCGCTCCGCTGCTGCCGTGCCAGCGTCTGAGCGTGGCCGAGGATGCCGAACCCTGTGATGTCGGTGGCTGCGTGTGCGTTGAAGGTGTGCATGAGGCCAGCAGCTACAAAGGAGGACAGAGAGGAAGTTCAGATGAATCATTTGTCCCTTTTACCCTGAATCTGCTCGGCTTCAACCTCGCTCTGCTCCACACCGAACCTGCTGTGTTTCCATCGAAAAGCTGACAGCTGAAGGTCTGCAGTGCGCCACTCTACAGGTGGATATTAATTGCAGTGTGCCGCCAGTGTGTAATTCAGAAACTTAAAATGCAAAATTATACTTTAATTTTACCTGCTCCTTCCATTGTGGTTCTAAATATCATTACAGTCGCTCTAGAGTTTTATTAACCTTTCCTTGCGCTACCTCAGTAAAAACCTTCACATTTTTCCCTCTCCCCTTGGCCAATCAGTGAGCAGCAATCTGCTCACACAACATTTCAAACGCATCATGCGTGAATGATGGGTTTACCTGTACGGTTGAGCCGGGCCATGTTCAGCATAGCTTCGTGGTAGGCCAACTCTACGTCTTCCTGGGTTACCACCAGCTTGATTTTGTTCCACTTCTCAGGCTAAATGTTGAAGAAAGCAAATAGGAAAGGTTTGTCATGAAATAGCAGAAGGTATCCCAAGACAAAAAATATATATATATCAGAAAGACTTACAATGTCTAGCCACTGGTGCACTGCGACAGCCACTTGAGTCCCTAATGGTTTGGTCAACACCAACACGTCCCCAGGCACTGCGTTATCAGGCCTTGAAAGACACCAGACATTGTCATGGCATTTTTTCTTCTAACAGAGACTGAAAAGTCAGAGGGAGTGTACATATAACAGGAAGTTATTCCTACATGATGAACTCATTGGGCTGACACACTGTCGTAGCGACTCCTCCCATTACCACCCAGGGGTTGACCACCGTTTGTCCCCCTGTGACAGACGTGCCGGCCTCCTCTGAAGCGTCCTTGAATCCCTGGATGATCAGTGGCATGACTTTGTCTCTTTCCTGCAAACACACTCGCATATATGAGCAAGTGTAAAAGAAACGCAGGAAGAATGGATGCTTCAAATCTCCCAGTTCCATCAAATTATCCCCCTAAAAGAATCAGAGTGATAGCACTGAAATTGTATGCTATGCGATCTTTTGCAACTTCCCTGACTCCTGGAGTCAGGATATTATTAATTTTTTTATGTCTGATGTAAAAAAAAAAAAAAAAAAAAAAAAAAAGCAAGTGTTACCACCATCACATAGCTAGAACTTCTCAGAAGAACAAACCGCTTGAACCGATTTACAAAAACAACTAATTGTTGTTTTTTTGTTTGTTTCTTGATTAGCTATACTGTCTCACCAAATGAAAAAAAAAAAAAACCTTCTCACTTTTTCTGACATCTTGTTGCTGACTCCCAGAAGCATCAACATGTTGTCACACTCCGTCACTCCCATGGCGTACAGGTCACTTAGAACATTGGCACAAGCAATTCTTCCCTACAAAGCAGAAACAAATTAACCACAGAAGCTGTTTGTGCGGCACGGAGACAGAAGGATTCACACCTTTTTTGTTTTGTTTATATTTTGTCATGTTTCACATTCACAAATTGTTCATGCCATACGTTGTTCATATCACAATTCATAAATACAAAAGCTCGATGTGAATTTGTGGCAGATATTTCTTCATCAATAATCAGAACAGATTTATGCGTGGGCGAACCAATACGACCTTAAGACAATAGAATAGGGGAGAAAGTCTGGAAACAGGAATATTTTTAAGTGTAGATAGAAACCCAGCATTAACAACTAGAGAAACTCAAGTAAAAGGGAGAACCGTTACCATCATGTAGGGGTCGTCAACAATAGGATAGATGTAATCTGTTGTCTGAACAAGAGAAAGTCCACCATGTCTGAGAGGGATCACACATGTGTCCATGCCTATTCCTTTAAAACAAACAGAAATCTTAGCAAAGAGTAAAAGTGCAAATAGTAATGACATGTAATTGCAAAACAAAACCTACTTTTCTCAGCAGTACAAGCAAATTCATTTCACTTATAAAATGAGGTGTAATGCAGTCAGTTTAGCTTTAAATAAAGGTCAGCACTCTCAGCTGATTAAGCATTTTTGTAGAATCAAAGTTGCACAAAGAACAAGCTGAAGCTATCAGTGCAACTGTAGGAGTGTCGAACATGAGCGCAAGTTAATAACTTAGGTCAGACACATGACAAGGCCTCAGTTTGAACTCTCATTCATTCAAGCTGGCAAGACTTTAGCATGTCTGCTACCACGGCAGTAAAATAAGGTAATTATTACCTAATCGAGGCATAACTGCCCCCAAGAACTGTTCATCTTCTTGATAGTGGTTCTCCTGTAAGGCCTCGAGCAACTTCTGTAAAACCTCTTGAGGGACCTAAGATCAGTGGAAAAAACAGCGACAACATTTTTTTTTTTTTTTTTTTCAGATACCTTTAGTAAACATTTTCAGTCAGAAAAAAACATCAGATTTTGATTTGGACAACCAACCTTGCAGCCTGTCCCCTTCAGCTCAGCGAAGCGTGTGAGCCTGAAGTTCTTGTCCAGCTCATAGCTTTCGGGGTTAAAAGACTCCCTCACAGACATTTCTGATGGAGCTCCGGATCCTCACCACTGAAAAACAGACCGAGAAAAAGAAGGAATGATGTAAAACACCTATACACACCTACACAAGAAAAACTAGAAGGGACTCAAAGAGGCTGCATTACAAAAGAGACTTATTTTGCACATGTTAGAAATAACACAAGGTTGATCAAAAAAAGCAAATTAATCCTAGACCTTTACATACACTCACCGGCCACTTTATTAGGTACACATGTGGAATTGCTCACTAACATACAAGAATAGGTCAGCAACATACCAGCAACTCAACACATTACGCTTCTGAATGTAATGTGGAAGTTATTCCTTTTTTTTGAGCATCAGAAAAAGGAAAAAGGGGATCAGACTGGTTTGAGACGGTAGAAAGGCAACAGTAGATCAAACAATAACTCATTGCAACCAAGGCACGCAGAATATTACCTTCAAACGCATAACGTGTCAAACCTTGAAACAAAAGAAGACCAAGCCAGATGTTACTTATGTTAGCTGAGAACAGGAAACTGAGGCGTAAAGGGGCCCCATAGAAACCTTCCTCAGTATTATAGCTCACCATGTCTATCCATTTATGATCCCAGTGTGTCCAACTAATAAAATTACATCTATGTCATAATGTCAAAAAAACTCAAATCATTTCAAACTGGCTTCTTGGAACATGGTAGGAACTTCACTGTACTCCAGTACTTTGTACAATAGATTATCACTGACAGTGTCGGAATGAGAGATTTACATCATGGATACGCAACCACCTGATATGCAACTTATTTGATGCTACCAAGTCACTTTGACCCAAAATCTCTTGAGAAATATTTGACAACTTTTTGAATCTATGCAATAACAAGTTGAGGCAGTTCTGAATGCAAAAGGAGCCCAACCACATACTAGCAAAATGTACCTGATAAAGTGGCCATTTGACTTTTCTAACTGTCTTTAAAATAACACGATTAAAAAATATATAAGCTTACCATCTGTAATGGTCACATTCTTCAAAATGAAATATTAAAACTGCAATTGACTAAGACAAACACATACTGTATGTCCAGATTGAGAGAGCATGTTTCACTGTGATTTATATACTTTTGTATGAGTTAAGGAATTTTCCAGATATTTGTCCAATACATACTGAAAATAATAATAAACCACTAAGTGAATAACTCAGAACAGCACTCATATGTTTCACAAAGGTCAAATTTGTGTCAATTTACATAAACAACAACAAAGGAATGTTATCTTCTCACCTCAGGATTCATGTGGTTTCCACTACCTGCTCTCCATTCCCCTGCTCTAATTTAACGTTGAGAGGTTTTTATTTCAATACATTAACCTGCATTTTTTACCTGTTTTGTCAGATGGAGTCAATCTATAAAAACTTTTTTAATTTCAAAATTGTTAAGCAAGTATCAAAGCCAAGCATCACCACATCAATGAGAACTGAATATTTAGTTCGTATCCTATCAAAAGAACTAAAAGCAATAAACGTGTATATACCGTGATTATAACTGTGCCATCTAGCATATTCGCAGTTTATTGTGCCAATTGGAGTTGCTGAAGGGAACCACAATGCATAAAATGATTCCATTTTCATTCAACCCCTGAGGAACTGGCTGACAATATCAGTAATGTCCAGTGTAAAACGTCTGGTTACTGTAATGTAAGACACACGACAGCCAGACTTTAAGACAAATCAATCTGCAGAGACAACTAACTCCACTCCCAACGTTTGTTTAGCTGAAAATGCAGCTTAGATTTTCTGCTAGCTGTGGCTAGCCGATCCTTGCATGCGGCAATGAGCTGAGGCTGCTATCTGCAACAAAGAGCCCCTGGAGACCCGATATGCTAGCCGTACTGCCACTGAGCGCAAACATTGTGCACGTTTCTATTTAACCCTGATTTACAGTGTAGAACCATAACCCCGGCTGCTTGCACTTGCAAGTTAAAAAGTTGCGGCAGGGCGCCTAACAAAAATGTCGGCGGCGGAAAAAATTAACCCTTTCCTCTCCCTCGCCATGCGATGTGTGCAACATCAGAGTTAGTATTAGCACTAAATCGCTAAACGTGCTGCTAATGCAAACACCGTAATGAGACTGTACAATACAGGTGTACAGAATCAGCCTATGAGCAAGTTTAGGAGCTAAACTGGATTAGATTCTTACAACATTTCCCCTTTAATTGGTCTGAGCAGTTTATCCTTACCAGCTTCGGGTTAGCGGTGGATCCTGACACAAGAGCGGGGACTGCAACAGAACGCACCAGGGCTACATTTAGGCGACCTCTTAGAAAGCCTGACTAGAAATCATAAATTATTGTCTTTTAACTATTGTACAGAGGACAAAATAATCATTATTATTTAAAAGTAAATGCAAAGTAAATACGATTATTTATAAGCAATTTGTGCTGGTGCTATTATGTAAAAACATGCGCCTAATTTAACGTGGAAACTAACCAGATAACAAAGGGTCCTCTGTTTGCACGGTGGCTTCTTCAACATCCCCTTTAATGATTCCAAAAGTCTGCCAACAAAATTGTTACAATGGAGTGTACCTTTAATTTGTGTTTTCCCTCCTTTTACATCCAACAAAACATTTTCTTATAAACGTCAAATTAAATAACAAAAGAAAGGTTGATAGACAAAAATGTCATACTTTTTTTTTGAATATATGAAGAATAGGTTTGATTAAATTTTAATAAACGGTGCCTTTTAATAGTATTAATAACCATGACATTTCAACACACTTCAATATATTTATGTGGATTTTATTAAAAATAACAATAACAAGTAATGCATACCTGTCAAAATTAGGAAAATGTATAAAGTTTTCAAGTTATTTTGCAAATAGTTAATGCTTTGTAGAACTAACTTTTAAAAACAATTATGTCTTTTTCAGTTTGTCTCCACCTGGTTTTGTACATCTAGAGACTGTAATATCTGCCGATTTTTTGCAAATTAGCTCAAGGTCAGTGAGATTGGATGGTGAGTGGCCGTGAACATCAACTGTCAAGTCTAACAGCAGAAATCTTAGTTCGAGTTAGGTCTGACCTTTGGCTGATTATTCTAACATCAATACACTTTCATGTAACTCATGTAGTTGTAGCTATCGCTGTATGTTTAGAGCTGTTGTCGTTAGAGGTGGTCCCAGCCTGTTTGGCACCCCCAACACACTCCCATAAACAAAACAAAGCTCTGTAGCATTTTGGTGCCAAATGGTTTATCATGTGGGTCTGCTGAAGGTTATATGCAGTATTAAATTTCCATAACAGACAGACAGCATTTTGAATGTAGGCCTACAAAATTCAATTTTGAACTCTTGTCACTAGAGCAACTATCATGACTGCTTTTACCTTACTTCACTTGTGGATAACTTTAAACAGCAATTATTATTATTATTATTATTATTATTATTATTATTATTATTATTACTTCACGCTTCCATAAAGACCTGATTTTCCCTGTTTACTGGTAATAATAGCTCAGTCAGTTAACAGACCTCTGCTGCTCCTTCTGACTTAACACTGGCCTCTCAGTTTCTTGGCCACCCTGTCAGAACGACCATAAATGCATGTTTTAAGGAGGGAGCAGTGGTGGCTACATGTTGTTCTTTTCTGTGGGTGAGATGTGAGATTTATTAATGACTGTCTTTCTAACCTGCAGTAGAAGCTATTATAGTAATCAGCCAGACGATAGTTAAAGTGGAGGGAGATTTGTTCCTGTAAGTGGTGATGTGCTGTAAGCCTCTTCCATGGTCCAACACAGCTTCCTCGGATGAAGTAAACCATGATTTGCTTTATGCGCAAAAATTCTTGGTCCGTACACACATTCTGAGAAAGCCTGACGTATAATATATGATTATTAGTTAGTTGTATGCAGTATTTAAAAATTTCAATCCTCCTGATGGTTCTTCATGGAATTTGGTGGGGTTCACGTCTTAACTGAGGAAATTAAAGTCCTCTTTCCCATGTGTAATTTGAAGCATGCTGATCACCTTAATTAAAGAAAATAAATTAATTTTGGAAAATGTATTTATCGGTGGATACAGTGGTAACAGTCTTATGTAGAGTGAAATCTATTTAAAGGAAAACTACTTATGTTTTGACAATATTGAAAAGATATGCTTTGATAACCATTTGTTAAGGTTTCAGTAACAATAAAAACATAGACGGACCTTGACATCTTTATTCATTTATTCAGATAAAGCCCCATCAGTCTATTTTCAATTCCAAAAATGTACTAAAAATACATCACATTTAAATACTATGTTTTCTAAACAAGGTGGATGATGCACTGCACATTACACCCACTGAAGTATTGGTCACTTAAAAAGCACAATTCACAATAGAGAACATCTTAAAAGATTAAGTCTCTGGACAATAAATGTATCATATTTTATACGTACTTTGTATTTTTCAGGTCTTATCCCTTTTAGTACCATCATAAAAGCAGATGAAAGTGTTTTTCATTTTTAACTGCAGGTCATTTTTCAGTTTTCTTTACCTCTTCCGTATAATGACTCAGTATCCCAGATCCTGGTGGTTTAAGTCTGTGCCCTGATGTAAACTCCAGCAGGCACATATGTACAGTAAAATGTGTGATTTATTGATAGCAGATAATTATTTTGAACACTCTGTGACCTTTTGTTGTGCAATTCAAATTGTTGATCACTGATATAAAGGAAAGACGGAGGGTGACAAATGAATAAAGCCAGAGAAATATTAAAGATAAACTGATCTGCTGCCAGGCAATAGTGGCAGCTGATGAAATCAGTCTTGTTTAACAATTTCTGCTCATCACTTTCAAACCTGTTAAAAATGAAACCCTGTAGAGAAAAGACAAAAAACAAATCAATATGCTTTATAATATTTCTGAAAAAGAAATCTGTGTAACCATGAGCAGCAGTTCTGAAACTAGGAAAGCTATGGGTACAATATAGAGGGAATATTGTGCTTATTGGGAACATAATTAGCTGACATTTTAGAAAGCTGCATGAAAATGTCAAATGTCACAGAAGGAACATAGCAAAGACTTGTAAGTTAACGAAGGAGACCAGGCATAGTAATTTGTGGATGTGTTATGACAGTAAATGAGATCAAGTTAAAGCTGTTGCTTGCTCATAATGTGTCTGAGCAAACAAATTATGTAATTGTAACATTTACAGGTACAAAATAGATTAAATCAGTGACATCATCACCTGCTGTAAATGTGTGTGTGTGAAAGCCAGGCAGTTGCGGGCAGATTCATGTGAGGTTAGTACTTGTAGATGGTTCATTTGAGTTTTCCTCAGCATCTGCAGCATCTGATGAGACAAGAGCAAAAGCGATTATACTTTGCCTTCACTTGAATATTGGGAGTGTGCCATAAATATTTTTCTTGAAGTATTACCAAAATATAATTTCAGTACATAAATATACATTTTTGTGTAGTGAACAGTACAATGAAAAACTATTTTGACTTTGACTATACTTCTGATTTTTGCCTTTTTGACTACTGAAATGTTTCAGATGATCAAGCTTTCCAAAAACATCTTGAAGATCTGTAGACTGCTGAGACAATGGAAAGGATTTGGTTCTGTAAGAGTTGGTGTAAAACTAATAGCCTTACAGAAAATAAAATCAAACTGACAGTCAAAATTTGTAGTGGCCCTATGAAAGCTAAACTATCTTGATCGATCTGGATGACTTGTGGTAATGAATTCACTGGTCTACCAGAAAATCTTGAATCTGCTGTAGCAGACATGCATTTATGCAGCAGTACAGTCATACTAAGCACAGAAGCAAGTTCACATCTGAATAGCTCAAAATAACCAAATTGAGGCTTTTACAGTTTTTTCTTCAAAAGTGATGACACGGAATGACCATAAACTGTTGCGATTCATTGGTCGTTGTGTTAGGATTCTAATTTTGATTTTGAGGCATTATTATTTTGGGATTTTACTCTCACTAAGTCTTCAGTTATTTATTGGCTAATTAATTCAGTTCCCATGTCACTAACCACCTCTCCAGCAGATTTGGTCCCATGTGTTTCTTTAATCTTGTACAGAAAATTCTGCTGTACTCCCATGCTACCACTTCCTTTCAAATTTTTCTCTCTATGTTTCTTCCTCTGCTTTTGTAAGCTTTTGGACCTTTTTTCATTAAACACTCTTATTTGGAAATACTCTGTCTACCTGAAAGAAGAAAATGAGGACAAATACTTTTTCATGCTATATCGGTGGCAAGCTAAGTGTGTGCACGAATGGGTGACTGAATGTAACGTAAAACGCTTTAGGGTCCTCAGGATTCGATCCATTGCTCTACAGGTACAGGCCATTTACAGTTTATTTGCATTCAAAAAAAAAAGATTAATGAGAGAAAACCTCGTTTCAGCCTTCTTCTGGCAAGTTTGATCTGATCTTGAAGGATCTGTACCCAGTCTCGTGGTCCAGGCAACTTCTCTATTCTGTGTTCAGTGCAGTATTTCTCTGTAAACACTGGACACAAATTACACAAAAATGTAGAAACATATTGTGCTTTTTACAGTAACTCCTTTTGTATGTATTTGTCCTTCACCTTTAATAGCACCCACAATGTTCTGGTCCAAGCCCTTACGGTTGTCGTTGAGCCCTCGCTTCCTTTTACCATTTGGCAGAGAATTAGCTAAAGTAGCATCGTCAAAGAAGGCACACACCTAAAAACACAGTACAGCTTAAACGAATATTCAAATTCAAAATCGAATACTTTATCATAGCAGATTTTTTTTTACATTATTTAGTGGTCAGCATGGCTGTTGATTAATAGTATGTTTTTATGTAAGCCACTGCTACGCACTGTTCTGTGTAAGCTCACAAAAAACAAATCTTTAAACCTAAATGACCAACTGTCAGCTAGAAATGTAGGGTCCTTATGAAATAACCTGCCAGTACTTCTATGATGATTCGCCAGTACAAATATTTCTAACAATTATGCAGTAATAAAATAGTTATTTTTTTTAAATTGATTTTATTCTAGGATAAGACTGAAATTGTTCATACACAAAAATGTTCATTAAATTGGATGTCATGGGTCACTGGCTAAAAATTGTACCGTTACTCTAAACATATTGCTTTTAAAAATACTTTAGCAGCTAAAGTTTCTGCAGAAAAACTCTTTTTGCATTTGACAAACAGCTTTTGTAACCAAAACATTGTTTTTTGCTGAAAAATAAGGCAAGTTATCTTAAGCAAGTTATTTTTATGATTGAAACACTTAACAAAATATTGTGGTGTGAGGTTGTCATCAGTCATAAAAGGCATGTTACAGTACAAACCATTTCCTAATATTAAGGTATTACTGTTAATCTTAAAAACTATGGATACATACCAGCTTACGAAACAGGAGGCTGCCAGAGCGTGTATAGTTGACCAAAATGGAGTCTAGCTGGGCCTTTGAGATAAACACATCATAATCCTCCGCAAGGCGAACGTCAGACTGTGACAGAGTCAACAACAAAATATAAATACATTGAATATAGCTATAACTGAAATATCACGGAAATATCTTAATAACAACATGGGGATGGTATTGCAAAACGTAAGAAATCAACAAGTACCCTCATGGTGTTCCACAGAAGAAAACATTACAATGAATTTTCTATACCTGTAGCTTTTAAACAGCTTTTTTTTTTTTTAAATGAGGCTTTAATGTTAGGCTGCATGAAATAAAGGACAGCAACAAATTTAGAACGGCAAACTCATACAATCACCTGTTGCTAAGTGCAAGTATTACCTCTAATGCCTGATGTCCACCGAGTGCTTTCAGAAGAGGACCGTGTGTGCCAGAGTCTGCTATCTGATCATTCCTAGATGGTGGCTCAGAAACATCACAGGAGATCAGAGATGAGTCGAGTTTCTCACATTCCTTTTGCTTTGCATCTTCCCGGGGTGAAGTTTTCAGAGTCGAACCCCCTGGAGAAAAAAGAGCCGTTCTTCCGGTTCCACAGAGACTCAGTGGAGTCACCTTATACATAGGTCTTCTCTTCTGAGAGATGCGGCGTGGAGAAGAACTAAGGCTGACGTGAGGCTGGCATGATGATTTAGTGTGTTCCCGCCTTTCAAATGTTCCTAAAAGAAGAAATAGCACGTTATGGTTTCATTGTCTCAGTTTCAGTGATATGCACATGTTCTGCTGACCTTTCTGAGTCTGCATCAGCCTCCTCATTGCACGGAGCTCGTGCAATATCGCCTGCAAGGTTCCTTTACAGTTACACATGCAGCAGGGGATTTCTGGCACAGCAGGACGGAGCTCATCTGTTGGAAAGTCAGGAGTGCTCACATTTGTTATTGTTCACTTACTTTCATGCCTTAACAAAGTATGTTTCTATACATCTGTAACAACAAACATTTAAAAGGGAATAATTTCCATTTCTACAAGATCTTGAAGTCCCTGTTTCTTTTGCATTGTTTTAAAACCTCTACATGCCTCTTCAACTTTTCTACTTTTGTCACATCACAATCACAGATTTGGAATTTGAAAGTAGTGCATAATTGTGAGGTGAAAGGTAGATAAATAATGTAAACAATAACTTTATTATGGTGTTAGTGCACACCACTTTCTAATGCAGCCCTGGTCAACTACCCGATACCACCACTTTGGCTTAATTTGTTTTTTAATAAATTAAACATATGAATAATTTGCACTGTGTTTGTATTCAGATAGTCTGGTATACAACGTCCTCCAGAAGTCCCCTAAATACTACACAGAGTTAATCTGACTGTAATTTTTGCATTATTGTTATAAAGACTTTATAAAACATGCAGATGCAAATGCAACAATAGCTGGTGCTAGTATAGACTCGGTTTATAAACTTTTATCTATTAAAAAAAAAAAAAAAGAAAATCCATTAAAAGACTATTGTCTTTCCACGTCACAATTATGAGTTACTTAGTATTATTCTGTCACACAAATACCAATATGATGCATTCAAGTTTGAGGTTTTACTGAGATGATGAATGTAAAAAAGTTAAAGGGGTTTGGATGTTTTTTTTTTTAAAGCATCACATGTTCATTGATTTTTTTTTTCTTCCTCTTTAGAAATTGCCTGACTCCAAACCTTTTGTTTCACTGGGTTTTATTAAATCCTTTGTGATGCTGACAGTCCTGAGTCCTCTGGAGCGGGTACTGTACTGGCTGCAGGCTTGACCATTAGGGAGCGACGTTGATTTGGATGAGGGTGGAGGCTCTGGGTCTCCTGGAGAGCTCCAGCTTTGGTCTTCTGACACAACAGGTAAAACTGGAGGTGAGTGCATGCAGTTCAGTTGACTTTCCTGGGGATTTTTTGTTGAGCTGTTCTGCTCGACACCCAAACGCTGATAGCCTCTGCCAGTCTTGTCACCCAGGAGCCTCATCATTCCAGTGATCTGTTTCTTGATTTCCATGCTCCCGTCGCCCATCCAGACTACACAAAGATGACATGAGGGTGAATATAGTTTGTGGTACCTGCCGCAGCAAGGTTTCACACGGATGTTCAACTTCAAAATTCTATACTGTTCCATAATCTGTTTTGTCCTGTTTGTTTTGATAAGAAAATGGTTTCTTTGTCGCAAAACATTCTCCAAGTTTGGGTTTAATATTTTCATAAATCATGGAACAACAAAACACTGAGATAAAGGGTAATTAAACTTTTTTTTTATTGAGGAAACTCTGATTGTCATATACTTAATACAGCTCCTTTAAAAATTTTATTTTTGGTCAGTAATTCCATACATATTCTAATAAGTAAAAATTTCAGTTCTTTGCTTGGCATTTTTACTAAAATATAACTTTTGGTCCAATTTAACTCAGTTAAAGGATTTAGAGGCTAATGTACCAATCAGGATTTTTCTGATGAATGCCAATTTCTGGTTTTCCCTGATGTATTTAGTTATTAAAGCACAGCCTTTAATAACTTTAATAATAATAGAAAAAAAAACAAAAAAAAAAAACGAGTAAGTTAAAAACTGACCTGAACACAGGCTGATTGCAAGCTAATAAAAGCAGCAAAATTGTGCAGTGATGCAAGACAACTGCATATTGCCATTTTCTTTATATTTTCCACTCTCCCTTTTTATTTTTTCATACTTAAATGATGCAATCACATTTCATACTTTTTAGGTTTTCCAAGTACCACACAATCTAAAAACATCTTTGAAATGATCCGAACCTTGAGGCGCGGCAGCATCCCTACTCTCACCATTGGCATCTCTGCAGCTGGAATTTATCCCATATGAAGAGCCGAAATCTAGATATGACAGAAAAGAGTGTCGGTAAAAAAAAAAAAAAAAAAAAAAAAAAAAAAAACGAAGGGAAAAATGGGACTGTAGCTTAATTGAGTCAACGAAGCTTTGCAGATTGATGGAGTGTGAGGAGCAGAACACTCCCTCCTCCCATCCCATGCAGGAATCACCACCTGTGGGTAGCATAAAGTCGTTCTCCATCGAGGTGTTCTGGAACTTCCATCCTCAGCCAAAAAAAAGTGAGCAGTTTCGGCTGTAGTTATCAGAATACTAATGCGCAACAGATGATTACATATTTCTTGCTCCGTCTATGTAATTACTGATAATTTATTTAAACGAAGACAAATGTCATATTGCACCCCCCCCCTCCTCCCTCACCACCCTTTTTTTTTTCATTATTTTTGCTTCTGCTCTAATGGTTACATCTTCACGGTCGGATGTGTGCAAAAATCGATCGACAGATCTGATGCAATGTCGTGGCCGTCGCTTTTGTCTGCGGATGGTCTGTGCTTGGCACCCGGCGCCAGACAAACAGCCAGACACACGGCACAGGAGCGCGTCTCGCAGCCTACCTTCATCCGTGACCAGTTTGAAGCTTTGCGACTTTCTTCTCCTCTTCCTTTCCCCAAACTCCATCTTCAAGAGAATAATTCAGAAAGTCGAACAATGGGAAAATCTCTCACTACAACGCCAAATCAGTGCCTCCAGCCTATAGGACGCACTCGGCGCAAAAAAAAAAGGCTGCGCTGTGGATATTGACATCGGATGATTCTCGCCGTTTTGGACTTAAATTTATCCCGAAAACGCTGTTGTTGAACGTGATCTCCTTTCCCAGCATGACGCTGCTCTTTCCCTTTCGCCATGTAAATACATTAATGACTTTAATATTAAAAATTCGTCGCATATCCCTTTGCGCGATGGTATGTTTCATTTAGAAGGTCGAGTGACACATTTCCCTGTGTGCAGAGTGCAGACTGGGATTTAAACTAAAAGAAAGCTCTCACAAATAGATAGATAAATAAATAAATAAATAAATAAATAAATAAATAAATAAATAAATAAATACTATTATGCTTTAACAAATTTGTTCTTGCTTTTACTGTAAAAGTCTGTGTAAATAATTCTTCTTCACAGTGCCTTAATAGTACTCTTTTCACAATTTGTCAAACTACAACCTAAAACTTTAATTTAATTTATTTTTTTTTTTAAATATAACATACCATTCCGCAAGTCTTTTAGGAAAAGTCTCTACAGATCTTTAGAAAATAACTCAACCAGCTAGATTGGATAAATGGAATCTGGGAACAAATGACATTTTGGTTTAAATAATTCAGTATTCAGAATTTAGGAGTAAGGTATGTAGGTTCAGTTATTGTGAATTCCTGCATAAATTGGAATTAAAGGAAATTACTTAGCCAATTGCAAACAACGATGCAACAGTTAGACGTTAAATGAAGCAAGCGTGAAGTTAAAATAATAGTTAAGTTATATGTTAAGAAAACGTGTCTAGATCCTGAAGATGATCAGTTTTAATATTTTTATAGTACTGAACTGAAGGTGAGGCAGTTTAGGAAAAGTCATAGAATCAAGAAGAACATGAGACCATATCTAGAATGAGTTCTTTATTATGATAGAAAATAGTTTCATCAATACTCCACTTCGGAAGGTGGCGGTAATGCACCTAAAAGCTGCTTGCCAACCGCTGTGAAACAGGAAGAAGAAGAAGAAGAGGAAGAAGACGAAGAATAACATCAAAAAATAAGCTCTCCGTAAAAGCGAAATGGATATACTAAAAGCCGAAATAGCTAGAAAGAGGAAACTTCTGGAGGAAAAACAACTTGTTGATGTGAGTATTAGGAGATATTAGTATTTTCTAAGTTTAGTTTAATATTAGCCTAGCTTCTGTTAGCTAACGCTAATTAAGCTAGCTTCTTTCTAGAAAGATCGGTTTTTTTAATGTCAGATCTATCAATACCCATGTAAGATAGGTTTCTTACATGTTTTTTTAAACATTCAAACGCTATACGCTTTAACATAAACCTGTTTCTGAGTATTCACTTATATCAAAATATGATTAGCATTGTTTTGTGACTGTAAAATAGTTTTATCAAAACCACATACGATGTTACGACGTTAGCTTAGGCTTTATTTGTGTCATAATTATCAATATTCGCTACTCTGCTGCAATTGCAAATAATATTTATGATTGTATGTAAATAAATACAATCATGGGTGTTTTTGAAAGATCTATAGTTGGATCTTTCTAATTGCATGCTACGAATGTAAATAAAAAGATGAGTTGAGTTGTATTGACTCTGTCGGGTTACCCTGTGATGAATGTTTTCATTTTCACCTGTATGGTTAGTCCTCTAAGTAATAACTAATGATCTTTTTCCAGGAATCCAAAAAATGCTTTAAAAGGGGTGATCTCGTACGGAAGGAAAAAGAGGAGTACTTTAAGAGATGCGGATACAAGGTAAACATTTTAGCATATTTTTTGATGGTGTTCACTCTCACACACTGACACATCTGAGTAATTTTATCAATTTTGTCTCGAGCATTGCTGTAAACTTCTACATTACTTACTTAGTGTAAATGTTTACACTTGTAAACAGTGCTGCTATCTCATCAGGTCCCTCTTGAAAAAGCGACTGTAGCTCTCAATGAGTTTTTTATTTTTATTTGGTTAAATAAAGGTTATTATTATTATTACAACATTCTCTAGAAAACAAACTAAGGCCACAAACTTCTGTTGAGGTCTGCATTAGTGTTGTGTTCACTGTGTTGTTTTTCTGCAACCTACCTCTGCTGCCTGCACCTGTAGGTTCAGACAGAGACTCCTAAGAGCCAGGTATGGGATTGCTCAGTGAAAGTAGCAAACGGGATGCATGATGAAAGGATAAAAACACTGTGTCCCAAAAGTTTCCTCTTCCTTGGCATCTTCTCCGGTTACTGAGACTTAAAAGAAACTGTAAATTAGTAATTGTTTTCTGGATGTTTTAATTCAAGACATTCAGTTTTTGTCTAAAATTGTTAAAGTTCCAAAGCTATTTGTTAGAAAGAAAGTAGATAAAGGAAGGAAGAAAAGAAGCTTAGATGGGACACAGCCTGACTTTGTATTTTACTATGGAATATTGGTTTAAAACAAACAGTTATCTGGTCAAGCTTTGCTTTTTATTATGCAAATTACTTAATAAAAGATGGAATTTTAGACCAACTACAAGTGGCCTAAAGCATTGTCATTTTTTCAATCCCTTTAAAATTGTTTTCCCAGAATTTAAAACACAAAACTCATTGTTTTCTTGATGTAACAATAAATTACGTTTAGTTTGTATTTTTTTGGGAAACGTCTTGTTACCATTTTATAGTTGGTCTTTTAGACTGTGCACCTGAAACCACAATCTGAAAGGCTGCAATGCATGTGTGCATTAATGCATGATTTGATATCTTCTTTGAGTTTTCATTTTCCCACTTTACACTAAATTTGCTTCAGTTTCAATTTGGCTTTTGAGTGTGCAAACAATGTTTAACTCTGTCATAGTGAAAGTATCTAATTTAAATATTTGATAAACAATCCATTGAAAATGTTTTCATATCCCCTGAGGTTTTTCACATCATATAATCCACAAATTTCAATGTGTTTTTCTTTGATTTTATGTGAAACACCAATAAAATGTAGAGCAAACGGAAAGGAAAATGAACTAAAGTTTCAGAAATGCTCATAAATAAAAATCTGAAAAGTTTACCATGCATTTGTTTTCTATGAACATTAATATTTTGCCAGTTTCCACAAACTATTAGTTGGATGTATATCTGTACCTGGACTGCTCCGTTCTGATGCGTTCATATCTTTTGATACAAGTCATTCCACAAGCTTTATGTTTAGGTTCCTTGTCCTGGAGGTCAAATCTCCTCCATAGTCTTAAATCTTTTGTGTTTTTTTTTTTTTCTGTTCTGCTCCTTCTATCCACCAACTCTTACCAACTTGCTAGTGGAAGAAGAATATTTCCAAAGCATCACGCTGCCTCCATCATGTTTCCCCATGGTGTTCTGTCACATAAAATATCATTAAAATACATTGAAGTTTGCAAATGTAATGTGACCGATGTGAAAACCCCAAGGGCACCTCTGCGATGTGCTCTGTTGAACTGTTGTGACTGTGTGAGGTTAATATGCCGAAATGAATCTGAATGAATCTAGGACAGAGTCTTCATTTGAGCTGACATAAAAATAACACTTTTTGCACATATTTTTCAATCAGATTTATTTAATTATTTATTTATTTATTTTTGCATTTGTTGCAAGAGAACAATCATTCCCTATGATGAATTTATCAGTGTTACCCACCGTGATTCAGTAATCAACACACGTCTGTTCATCCATCCTGTCCTGAAGCTCGATAAAGCAGAAGAAAACGAGCCGTCCACTTCAACTAATCCAGTGCTGGAGCTTGAGTTGACAGAGGAGAAGCTGCCAATGACTCTGTCCCGACAGGAGGTCAGTCAGTCAGAGTACAGCATCATTTCCTGCCTTTCAGTACTCTTCTCTCAATTTTGTCCGTTGCTCTATTTGTGCAGGTAATTCGACGACTACGAGAGCGAGGGGAACCAATCCGATTGTTTGGAGAATCTGATTATGACGCCTTTCAGAGACTCCGGAAAATTGAGATCTTAACCCCAGAAGTAAACAAGGTAAAATATTTAGGGACCGGGAGCAGCACCACTATTGTTCTAAAGCTCTAGAAAGCTCCGAAATAACCCCACTCTGTGCTGAGTATTGCATTTACTTTAGATTTGGTCACCACTCTGATGTGTTTTTGTGTTGTTTGTTTTTTCCACCATGTCCAGGGTTTGAGGAATGACCTGAAAGCTGCCATGGACAAAATCGACCAGCAGTACCTGAATGAGATTGTTGGAGGAACAGAGTCAGGGGAGCCAGACACTCAGCACGACCTGAAAGTTCATGAAGAAAACACCACCATAGAAGAGCTTGAGGTATAACACTTATGAAAGTGTAGGAGGAGTAAAATAGTTCCAGTGACTGTCTGTCATTCAGATTACATTTTATGAGCTTATGTTTTTCTTTTTTATGAATGAATTACTATGCAATGTTGCTTTGCTAACCAGAATTAAAATATCTCTGTCATATTATTCAAATTCGATCATAGGCTCTTGGGAAAACCTTGGGCATGGGGGATGACAGTGGAGATCAGGATGTCATTGCCAAATTTTTAAAGGTAAGGCAAAAAAAAAAAAAGACTCCCATTTTTGTCTAGAGGGAGCTGTTGTATAATATTTCCACAGTTTGATTCACTGCTACTTAAATCTTCTTAATCCACCTCCGTAATACATATTCAAATGGAATTCAGTTATCAATTTAACTTAATGGTAAGGCTCAGCTGCAAGACATGTTGTAAAGCTCACCTAATCCCCGTCTAAGATCTCTGCTATAGTCCTGGTTCTGTAAAAAGGGGCAAGACTAATGTGCATGAAATTAACACTCTGAATTATTAGACCACATTTTTCTTTCAAATAGAAAAGTTATCAAACAGTTTACACATAAGGCAATACATCTTTCTGTGCTCATTTATATAAAAGTGAAGAACTATTATCTTCTAAATTTTCCAGTTTGAGTCTGTCAACTAAACCTGTTTTACTTAGCTTTGCTTGGAGTTATATAATGCCACGATTTTATTTAGAAGTTTGTCTTATTCACTCGGTACCACTGTATGAA